GGGAGGGAGGGAGGGAGGGAAAAAAGTCAAACACTTACAACGCTCTTAGCTCTCTTGAAGAGATTCAAAGCTCTTTCCTGAAGTGCCTTTGTAATTTCCTTAATTTCCTCAATCTTCTCCTCCTTCTTCAAGAACTCCAGTTTTGCAAGGATCTCATCCTTACAAATCCTTACTAATTCCTGTGCTTCCTCTTGTGGCAATCGATCACCAAATTCGTCCACCTTGGAGATAACGTCTTCCGTGAGAGTCCGCAAGCTACTCGTCTTCTCGATGGCCATTATTCGACGTCTGTCCTCTTCGGCATGGGCCTCAGCAGCTGTAATTGCTGCTCTAACCGCTGCTGGAGAAAGGCCAGTTGTTGGACGGACTTCAAGTCGTTGCTCCTTACCGGTAAGTTGATCCCTTGCTGATACATTTAGGATACCGTTCACATCAAGGTCAAATGTCACTTCAATTCGAGGCACTCCTCGGGGTTGTGGTAAAATATCAACCTGTACAAAGGTATATAATTCATTTACCCGGATTTAAATGTGTCTCAACGATGTACATAGCAAATAGGCAGTTTGTCGGTCACGTGTTATTTAAATAGATTAAGTAGTTGTACATTTTTGTTAATAGTTTGACCTACCAAAACAAGACTGCCGAGTAAAGTGTTGTTAACTGTAAGCTCGCGTTCACCCTGGTAGATATTGATTTCAACTTGAGTCTGACCATCAACAGCAGTCGAGAAGACCTGAGTGACGCGGGCGGGGACTGCGGTATTCCGGGTCAAAAGTCGGGCCATGGCACCTCCTAGGGTTTCTATTCCCAAAGAGAGGGGAGTTACGTCAAGAAGTAAAACATCTTCAATATCACCTGCAAGAACACCTGCCTAAAATGGTAAAATACAAAATTTACAATATCTTTGTGAAAATTTTCATAATGGCTAATAAAAGCAGATAGAAAGGTATCATTCAATAAGATAGTTACTATCTGATTTGGAACAAATCTTGGTGTTACAACAAATAACACAATAACTCCGAGTATATTTGCTAAATAATTATCATTGAATAAAGCTATAGCGAAGTAGCTTAAAATAAAAGTTACATACCATAATTAAGCTGTAAAATTTTGGTTCAAAGCACTGAGACTACATTCTGAAAAAGTCATAGTATTTACAACCGAATTCATGAGATATCCCATAGCTGGATAATGAAGAAGATGAGCTTAAATGTGTTTAAAATTACCTTTCCCTCTAATTAAAGTAAAACGCGCGATTAGGGAGTCACCACATTCTAAGCAGTGAAAAGAGGGCAATTAATTCCTCATCATTGATGAAGTCTAAAAGGTAGGTTGAAGGGAAGTTCAATAAGGTAATTAAAGAGTAATTTTGCTTAAAGATCTCCCAAGGTCAAAATGCTCAAGAGCGTGCCACACAGACCCATGACAGTTCAAAATCCAGTTGCCTGGGAGCAGAGGGGGGGGGAGGGGTGGTGGAGGAGGAGGAACTACGTGCTCAGATCGATGCGAAGACCGCCTGCTATAGACACAATGGCGTATCAAATTTTCAAAGAAATAACATGTAAATTTAAATAATAATAATAATAATAATGATAATACTGGAAAGGTGAATGGATAAGAACAATTTGAATTCATTTTTTTTTATTTCCTTCCATGCTCCTACTTTAGTTGATTTTTTAAAATAGGGGAGTCGCATTTCAATTCACCTGTATTTCTAATTGGGAAAAAATAGCCATAAATCGATCATTTCGACATGAATGAAATATTTATGACTAGCTGGTACAAAAAGCAGTAAAAAATGCATGTCAATTCACAGCCATATCAAAGGCGTGTTAGATCAAGAAAGAGAAGGAGACTGTGAAATAAAATACAGAACGATAAAATGACCTTATGGTACAAATAAAACCTATCAGGCAGGTTCATATTAGTGTCAATAAGATATGTTAAGAACACTTACTTGAATAGCAGCACCAAGTGCAACAGCCTCGTCAGGATTGACCCCTTCACAAGGTTCTCGTCCGAAAATTTCACGAACTGTCTGTTTTACCTGGCAACGTGAGCAATAAGTGAGTCACAATGAATATTAAAAGAGCAGTCAGAGCATTACAAGAAATATATATCTCCTTACCTTAGGCATACGTGTCATGCCTCCAACCAGAATTATCTCATCGATCTCTGATTTTGCCACATCCCCATCGCTCAGCGCCTGTTCACATGGGATAATTGTTCTTAAGATCAATTCTTCCACAATAGTCTCATACTGAGATCGAGTCAAATTCATTTCAAAGTGAATTGGTTGGCCGGACTCATCGTTTGCAAGGAAAGGAAGATTAATCGAAGTCTTTTCTGCAGTAGAGAGGTCAATTTTAGCCGCTTCTGCGACTTCTTTAATGCGCTGCATGGCCGAGGGATTCTTGCGAACATTCGGAGACCCAATCATCTCGACAACATGAGAGACCATGAGGTTATCAAAATCTTCACCTCCCAACAGAGTGTTCCCATTTGTTGATCTAACCTCGAAAACCCCCTTACTTAACTCTAGGATTGAGATATCAAATGTCCCGCCACCAAGATCATATACAGCAATACTAGAGGGAGAAAAAAAATTAAGTTGCTTAATGGGGAACATACATTTTATCGTCAGCTTTATCAATACCATAGGCGAGAGCAGCTGCAGTAGGCTCATTTATTATTCGGTGAACTGAGAAACCTGCATGCTCTCCAGCTTCTTTAGTTGCCAGACGCTGACCGTCATTAAAGTAAGCAGGCACAGTAATCACAGCGTCCTTGACCTCACAACAAAGATGATTTTCTACACAGGGTTAAGAAAAAAGACTATCTTTTACCTGCAACAGACTTCATCTCCTTGAGAATATAAGACGAAATATCACTGGGAAGAAATTTCTTATCACCAATGATAAAATGAACTTCATGATTTGGTGATTGCTCAATCTTAAACGGCAAGCGACCAAGATCTTGCTGTATATCAGCATCATGAAAACGACGGCCTATAAGACGTTTAACTGCAAAAATAGTATTCTTTGAGTTAACTACGGCTTGTCGTTTTGCTGGTGTACCGACGAGAACGGTAGAATTTTCTTCTCCAGTAAACGCAACAATTGAAGGCGTGGTTCGCGAGCCTTCGGCGTTGGGGATCACCTGAGGTTTGCCGTTATCCAAGTAGGCGACGCAAGAGTTTGTCGTACCCAAATCGATGCCAACATATGTTGATTTTGCTTTAAAAGATTGGCGAGGTGCCTAAAATGTGGCTTAGTATTTATAAATTGATAATATAGAATTAATTTTCAATATTAATTAAGTGCGCTTATACAAATTAAGCGGCAATAAAAAGAGGAAATACATTGAACATACCCTTTGAAGAAGATATCTGGAGAAATTTTCTAAGCGTATCATTAAAAAACTCGGCCTTGGGTACAAATTTGGCAGAACATGGTGAAAAATTCAAAAAGCTTAGGAATCATTATGTCTTCAGCATTAACTTTATATCTCGAATCTATTGGTAATGCATATTTTATTTTCATAACATTTCATTGAAGTCTTATTTTAGTTACATAAAGACATTTTTCAACTTCAATTTATGTGCTCCATTTTACGAAAACTCTATAATTGTGACTAGGCTTTATAAAGTTTCAAATATTAAACTTTGACTTTTTAAATTCACGTAAGAAATAACTTCTTAATAGGCTTTCTTTGTTTAGTAGTTTTGAAAAGCTTTTGGTTAAACTTTTGTAATGTTAGTTAAAGTTCAACAAATTACTGCTAAGTAAGATAATCTAAGTCAGATTTCCATATTTAATTCACTTCCGAAATTACACAGGACGTCTCTAGAGCGGTAATCAGGTATGATATCGGAGTAGAGTTTGAGGTAAGTATTTAGAAATTAAATACGATTAACGCTGCACAGGCTAACACGTTCCGTGCTATCATTTTCCACCATGCGAGTTTCCATCAATCAGCTTTACTAAAAAATCATTTGTATATATTTAGTCAACAACGGAGTAATTAGCACAATTATAACGTACTTATAAATAGCATGATTTTTTAATTGCCCATTTCTTTATGGCGGCTAATTAAAACTAATTTATCTAAGACATAGTATTTTTCTCTAATCTGATTACGCAGATTTTATAGGATTGGTTTAAATGGTCTATTTCATGTAAATTTCTTAGCTTCGGCAATTAAAGCAAATAGTTTAACATAAGTGATGTGTTCTAAAAGGTAGCTTTAATAACCCCAATATGACACACTCTTTTCAAAGATATAAATGAAATGTAAGTACATGCCAGAGAGGTACTCTGTGATATTGAGTTGCATATTATCAGTTATATAACTCAGTAGTGTAGTCGTAATCGAAGGGAAGTTTAAAATCAACAAATATTTATCACTTTTGAATTAGTTATTAAAGTATTCAAAAGTAGGCACGGAAAAATACGCATATAGGAAATAGTTCTTAAATTATACCGATTGAAATTTGTGCTTAAGTGGATTACTAAGCTTTAATTCAATGAAGTGGATAAAAAAATCAAAATTCAAGTCATATTAGTGCCAGTTCATCACTCTACATTAACCATACCAATGTTAACGTGGTATAAACATTTGGACTCAATAATATGCATACTTGATAGTAACTGAACTTAAAAAATGATTTGATCTAAGCAGTTCGAAATAATGGCAACGAAATAGATGCAATCCAAATAATGCTTCCTATATATTTCTTTGATTCATCTTAAATTCTATATTTGTAGTTGTTATATGCGATTTTGTTATACAGTTTAATCAAATCAAACAGAATTGTTAGCGCACATTATATTCTTTTAATAACAAAAATCATGATAATAAGGCAAATTGGAATTATTTCAAGTGCCATTTAAAGCAAAATTTCGCCAAAATAAACTAGATTTAAATAAAATTATGATTTAGTTGAGATTATAATTTGTACACTTAAATAAGTATAAAGAAAAGTTACAAATTATTTATACCATGTGTTATTAAGCAAACATATATATTTAACTAAAACTCTTTCTCGTAAAATGGTGAAGAAGTCGATTTGAATTAATCAAAAGTGGATTTAGAATTACACTTGGCCTTTATTTTGTTTTAACCTATCACCGCGTAAGCGAATTATTGTTGTCGAGTTGCATTTCTCTCCAAATGTACCCTCCGCGGCAGAACGTACGTTCGTCTTCGAAGTATTATTTTTTCTAGACCTCGACGCAACAGAATCAAATGAAAATTACAATTCCAGATGCTTGTGACCGTATAAAAGAGGAAGTGACTTTTCTTACTCAACAAATTCAGACGTACGTTAATATATTTTTTTGAATCCTTCCATAGTTTGAAATTGGAATGTGAGCGACTAAGTCAGGAGAGAACAGATGCTCAGCGTCTATCCGCGAGTTACTACGAAACTGCATGTTCTATTCATTTGGAATATCAGAAGCAATGTGAAATAACCAAACGCTTTGCAACAATCATCAGTCAAGTTCTTTCCTATCTTCCTCAAGAGGTAGTAATTGTATTTTATGTGCAATCAATTTTAGCACCAAAACACTGTACTCTCTGCCGTCGAACGTGCAAAGCAAGTTTCGATGCCTGACCCGGCCACCATGATGGGGGTAAGTTAATGCTTTCTGCCTATTTTTCCGTTTTGTTAATGCTAATCCTCTTTTCCTACTTGTCTTTAGCAAGGTCAGTTGATGTTTCCTGGAGCTAACCCTATGGGTGGTTTTCCTCCTGGTATGCCTGGCTTACCTCAACCTCCTGTAACAAGCGTTAACGGAAATCTCAATACATCTAATGCTGGAGTATCTTCTCTTCTTTCAATGCCCCCAAATCCTTTTGGTCCCAATCCGATTACCTCGATGGCGAACATGAATTCTAACAATAATAATAACAATAACGCCGTATCATCTAGTAACCAGCAGCAACAACCCAGTGGTGGGCAATCAGGTTTTCCAGGTGCTCCACCTGGTGCTTCAAATTCTCCCGGTTTTCCCCAATCTCAAAGTGCCATGGCCGCTGCTATGGCTGCAATGGCAGCTAGCTTGCAAGGAAATAACGCAGCCGCCGCGGCCGCTTTCGGGTTTCCTCTTCCTCCAAATATGTCTACTGGTCCCAATCTCATATCTAACATGGGAGCTTTTATGACTGGTGATAAGAATATGGACGAAAAGCAGGTATGTCGTGTATACTCAAGATTTGTATGCCTCTTTCTTCCTTTGATTCACGCGACGTACACACGCAGGAAGTGTTGGGATAGGCGTTGTGGGTATTATATTGATAGATTGGCCGGGGGGGGGTTGATGGGGGGCTTTCCTTAGGGAGAGAGAAATGGAGGAGAAGCAGAAGGTGTGTGTGTACTGAAGCTGGTTCATTCCTGCTTTGCTCCCTCCTTTCTGTCTTCCAAAGTGATAGAGGAGTCAGTATGCCCGCCTACCCGCTTAGCGCGCATGACTACATACACACCGGTCCTCTCCCCTTTTAGATAGCTTTCCCCTCCACCCCCTTCTTCCGCTATACAGCCACCCTCCTCTTCAGTAGTGTAGTAACTTGTCTGGCGCTTCCTGACTAGCCAAATTGTAGGAGGTGGTGATGTGGTCGCTGCAATGTGGGAACGTCAACACATCTAGTCCCCCCCCCCATCGAAGAGCGAGAGGAGCACATGTCTCCTTTTCTACTCTCCCCACCCCTCGGTCGTTTAGGCGGGTGGCCCGATGTGGGTTAAGGAGGGGAGGTGGGGCGGTTGGGTGTACGCACACATCCGTCCACATCGGCGCGGACGCTTGCACAAGCCGTGTGCGCGCACCGCTTGATGTGCGTGTGCGTGAAGGAACACTACACGCCATCTATGAGAGCCTCCCAATTTCAAGTGAGAAATAGCTTTCACGCGTGTCACCTTTTAGAGCCTCCTAATTTTGCTCACGGACGCTGGGTAAGGGAGGGGAGGCGAGGCGGAGGGGGGGGGGTTTGATGGTGCGTGTGCCAACATCGTAGTTTCACCACCCTCCTCTGGTCTGCCCGCCTGCCAATTTCTTTCTACCTCTTGTCCCCCCTCCCCTCCGCCCTACTCTCGCACCACCCCCATCACCATCCGCCTAGTAGAAGACAGTCGGGCGAAGCGAGGGTTGGTCATCTAATTTTTTATATGTGCGCTTCTCTCTGTCATCGACTTGGACTTGGAAATCGCTTTTTGCGTATGGTGTTAGTTGTGCGTACAATTGCTCGCTAGCTATGTATCTAGCGAGCACCTAGGCTAGACACTTACATTCTATTTTGTGTGTGTTTATTGCCATCTCGAATTATTTTTGTATATGTGTTGGTTTATTTACACATTCAACTTGGCTTTAAATTCGCTGATCGCTAATCTGTTCGCATTTGCTATCATGCACCATTTCTTCTCATCTGCAGATTATTGGGCAACTTAATTTGTGTAAGATTGAGGATAGCATCACGGTTATGAATGCTTGAATTTTTCAGATGAGTGAAGGTCGCGCCATGACTTGACGTGTATAATTGCTTTTATTCAACCATAGGAATAGTTATATCATGAATTGTCATCGAACGACAAGAGGTCATCGAGGACACATAATAGTAAGATAGTAAGAAAATAACAACGGGTGTCTTTGGAATCTATTAACTTCATTTGTCATATTTAAAATAGACCAATTTTACTAACCCTGCCACACATTTAAGTAAATTTCTCAAACATTTCGAGCAAATGTTATCAACGATTAGCTTGGATTGAACAAATGTATTCTGGTATCACTCTTGCGTGAAGACTGCATTTTACCACTCTTGTTAGCCAAGTGGTTAGCTATCTGCATCCTTTAATGTGTACCTCCCCCCGGCATGATAGACTCTCATGTTAATGTCTGTACACCGCCACCCTACATTTCTCATTTCACGACTATTTGGGCTGACCACTTCATTAATTTATTGTTCTAATTTCTTTAAGCGAGCTGCAGCAGCCGCTGCCATGGCAGCAATGACCGCTGCAGTAGCTCAACAGCAGCAGTATGCAGGAGGCGCAGGCATGGATCCTAACAGCGTGTTCGCTTCCCTCGCAAACATGCCACATTCAGGTCCAGGTGGATTTGATTTCTCACAAGCTGCTTTCGCCGCAGCAGCGGCTGCCCTTCAACCATCACTCCCCTCTCAACAGCCGCCAAACCAACAACCTGCTTTGACACAACAAACAGACACTCCTATCGTGACATCTGCACTCTCAGCGCCTCCACCATCCTCTTCTACTAACTCTATTGATGCACAACCGCCACGTCTTCACTCACCTCAAACATCGACATCAAACAACTCCGCTACACCATCCAGCCCTGTCCAACCTGCTAGAGCGTCATCTGCTCTCGCATTCTCTGATGGGTCAAAACGACGACGGATTGATACGGTAAGTCACTAGGTTTGAGAGTTGAAGGGAATTAGAATGAGAATGCATGTTTTCTTGCTTGAGTGCAGTGTTAGAAACGATGGTGAGATTTTAGTGTGTGCGACCTCACTCACTTTGTGAAATTCATTGAACCCTTCACCTCACGAAAAGAGTTGCGAAATCTGTGGTCTAGCGCCCCTGCTTGTGGTGAGCGCGCGAGTAAGTTCTAAAATTGGGGTCTTTGTTGTTCTAGCAAAACGATGAAGCTAAGAGTGATTCTGAACTTCTAAATGGAAGTAGCAGTGACGGTAACAGTCGTAAACGCGTAAGCCTTTCTCGTTTCATCGTCTCGGTTTCATCTATAATTGTTGTCATCGTCATATGTGTTACACAAATACCCTCTCTCACCCAATCTCATCATTGTTTACTTCTCAGCATGATAAATCAGGAACTAACACATTCTTAATTGTTGTGATGCATGTGATATGTGTGGGGTCTGTGTGTGAAAAGGAATTCCACAATAGTTATAGCATAATAATTCACACTAGTAAGAAGAGACATTTCTCTCTCACCATGTTTCTATATTTCACGTGCCGTGCGTCGGTGGTATGATGTTGGTGATTAGTACAAACACCCATGCGCGCTTTAGAGATTGTGTCGACGGCACTATTTTAGACAATGCGAGTGTGATCTCTTAAGTATATATATATATGAATGTGTTGACTAACACGCAACTTTTATAATACTTATGGTCCTTATTATTAGCAAGTTGGTTGAGTTTTTATGACTGATATGCGTGCGTGTAATTCGTAGTTTGACATTTTAGATGATCCAGTGATATGGTTTACCTTTAATCGCAGTAGGTACCATTGCTGAATACCATTCGAGATGAACTAAATCTCTCATGATTTTATACAGCTGACGAGTTTATATATGTCTAAGCTCTCTATTTGGTTTGGCTGTTTATTCTTTTCTGAAAGTAATAATTAATTTGAACATTCTCTCATTTAAAACCGTATCTTCTGTTTTCTCTCTCTTGCACCGATTTTACTTCATTTTCACCTATGTAAGGGTGGAGGAATGGGGCGAGAACGTGCTTATCTTTGGCTTTACTTGAAATTCGATTTTAACTTAATTGTGTTCGGCTGCAGTTTCTTAAACTCTGGACTCAATGATATCATTATTAATCTTGGCGATCTTTACCTTAGTCTGAGTATTTGTTTGTCTTTATCGAATCGTCTCTTTGCCGAGCAAACGTCAAACAAAAGTATGTGCTTTATTGATAACTTGGCGCGTTCTTGAACACTTAAACGTCTAATTATCTCAAGGTGTGGTGTTACTTTTCCATCGTCCAGCAACTATTGGGAAGTTGGAAATGGAATCGTTTTAATTTCCACTTTAATCAATCTGATTGCAAATACGAATGTGTGTATGTGCATATGTGAGCGCGTGCTTTGTTATGTTAGAATAATATTAGAACGCGCAATAATGCAGAAACATTTTACAATTATTTATCGTGGAAACCAATTGAAATTGGGTATAAAGTTCAGTTGAGTAGGGGTGGGTGGGGTGGGGGGGGGGGCAGGGAATTGCAAATAGAGCATAAAAATGGTTAATTTATTTGATCTCCGGATTTGGGGTTACAGAATATCCACTTAAATGACAGCTACATTTCAAATTTTATTATTCATCGCTGCATTACTATCCAGAATCTATGATGTTTGTTGGCCGTTTATTAAATAATGATAATTGGTGTTGTCATGTAAATTTAAATCCGTTGAAAGTCCAGGCATTTTCATGATCTTAACAGAGCACAAATCGCAGACCAGATCAGAGTTATTATTATTACTGCCTATTCTCTGTGCCCTCTACTCTCACGATGCACTTCAAATTGTTTGTAATTTCGTTATAATGCTTTTGTAGCATATCTAACTGTCTAAATGCGTTTATGGAGCACATCCAACTAATTCACAAATGCTGAGTGAAATTAAATTGAGTCTTTAAAATTATTGTTATTGCAATTTTATTAATCTTCCACCATTTTATTAATTTCTCAGATGCGCAAATTGTAAAATAGCCCCCACCCCTCCTCTCCTCTGCCCTAGCAATTATATATCTCCTCTTACCGGAATTAAGCGCTCGCGTGCACGAACCATATCACCCCCGTCCCCAATTGTTGATTCCTCAATGATTAATTTGTGTTTATTGCTTCAGGACGGCGTTGCGTTGAATGGTGGTGCGACCTCAGAACCCGGGGGTGATGCCAATTCTCGTCAAAATGGAGGTGGTGGTGGTGGTGGTTTAATGAACCTTAAAACGGAGGTAATTTCGCTTTCTCTCCAAATCCTCTCTTTAAAAGTTTATTTTGCCCATTTTTAAAGTATGCCTTCTTATGTCCCCGAAAGGGTTAAGGAAGCATATGGGAAAATTAAGGGGTCCGATTTATGAAAATATATTTGCCAATGTAGAATAGGGTAATTTGGTGTAGAATTGGGTATTGTCTGGTTAGTTGGTAATTGTGTCGATCTTTAAATGCTCTCTAGGTGTGAGAATAGGAGTCGAATAATCGATAATGCAGTTCACGAGAAATGCAACTCATACTTTTCATTCGAGTGTCCTGGAAATTTTATATTTGTCTTCCCAGCAGTACACTGGTTTATATCTGAGTAATCTTTAATTGTACTTTTATTTAGCTTAAACCCTCGTCTACACCAATGGGAAGCAGCAATAATGGAGGCAATGGATCACCTCAAACGCCCGAACAACAAACACCAGCGAGTAATAATAATGGAAACGGTAACTCCTCACCAAAAGCCCTCAATATTCCTGGTTTGGCATCAACTCCCCTTAATAGTAAGTGTGAAAATTTTGCTATATTGTTGGCAATGGGACGGTGGTTGTGTTAAACGTTAATTTACTAGCAATTAAATTTTGCCGTGAGAGAGGTTAATAGTAATTACCTCCTTTTTTTAACTACCCTCATCGTTTTACTAAATTTTATTTTTAATCTGATTGCTTGACTTACTATTGATTTAGATACAATGAAATGCTTGGGTTGGTGGAGTTTATCGATTGGGAAAAGGGAGTTAATTGTGGTAAATTTGGCCTTGACAGGTTGTATTCATGACCTAGTTGTCGTGAGAGTGTGCTTGGTTGGGGGGGGGGGGGGTTAGGGGGTGATTCTACCTTAACTTGTCGTTTAGTATCTAAAATCCTGGCGTCTAATGAAAGTGTATTTGCTGTTATTAATATTTTCGTATTTTCACTAATTTCATAAAGTCGTTGAAATTTGTTTGAAGGTTGGAAAACAGGGTATTCTAGCTTTAAATATTAGGCATGATGTCTGTACCTTATTTTTATAGCTGAAGAAGTGGTTTTTGGTATAAGTTTGCGTTTGCCTATTTCCAAATATTTTTAACCACAATTTGGTAAGCTACTTCTCAATTCTCAATTATTCACTCTCGTTTCTCTCTGCACGAATTCTCTGAGGGATGGTTTAGTAGGATGAGGGAAAAAGAGGATGGGCAAAAAGGTAGGAGAGGGGGGGGGAGGGGAAGCGAAGCAGAAATTGTCCTCCACTCTCTTCTCATCATTCGGACGGTCGAACGAACAGGCCGGGAGCGGGCGTGACTTGCTTGCTACGCGTTTTGTGTTTGTGCTTATAGCGATTGGGCGTTCACTCCTCATCTCCCTCCCCCCTGGCCTTAGTCTTCATCTCTCGCCTCCCCTCTCCCCCTAGTCATGGGTTGGGTGACTCAGCTACCCCTTGGAAATGATGATTGGGGTGGGAAGGGGGGGTGGAGAGGGGTGAGGAGTGGAGGTTTTACGCGCAACACCCCCTGGGGACATTTTCATCCTCCCCTTATGGGGTGGGGGAGCGGGGGTGGGGTATGGACAGACTAGATCTCTCTCTCACGACTGTCTGGCATGCGTGCGTAGGTGGTACCCCAACCTCTCGGAAGTAGTGGAGGCGGGTGGAGATTTGGGAGAAGAGGGAGATAGCTTTTTGCTCTTCCCATGTTCTTCCCCTACCTTCTCGGCCTCTTAACCCGTTCGTTCCTTCTCCGTTCTAAGGTAGAGTGTGTTTTAGGCTCAATATTTCTCTCCTCTCGTTAAACCGATTTCTGCAACCTCGTCATTTTGCGTCTATTTCTCGGGGGTAGGAGTTTGTCCTTAAATGAACGACAAACACACAGGCATGTTTCAAAAGTGAGCACACTATTACTACCACTATTTCGAATTCTTGGGTAAAAATTTAAAACCTTTGCGTGGTGGCTGAATACCCTTTGTTATTGAGTAGATTATAATTCCCGTGGGGGGCGGGGGGTGGTTTTTTTCTTATTTTGATAATTACTTCCCACTCTTTGTGTAAATTGCCTCCCATCTCATTCTTGTCTCTGATAATTAAGGCTTATCTGAGAAAATATTAGGCTTTTTTCGTATGCGAGCTCATTTTTACAAATTACAGGTGTTTGGAGGGCAGTGCGATGATTTTGAATTCAACGAAAGTAATAAATATGCATCCGTTGATTCATTTATTTATAGATTGCTTTCACCAAGATAGGTCACATACTCTTGACAGTTGCATAATATCTGCATTAAGCTTAACTTCATGGCCTTCTTATTATTCACACGGCTGACACAGAGGTGCAAATTTTACTAATGTCGGTTTTATAAATTCTTGAAATTCATTATTAATTGAACAATTGATTGTTCGATTTCAGTGCTGTATTGCCATTGGGTTTAGAGCCTGGCCTCTCATTTATCTAGCGTCACTGCCATAATTTTGCATATATGACCTTAATTGGTTGCTTGGTTGGCCATTATTTAATGGCGAGGGAACTCCACGCAAACACAAGTGCGGTCATTCCTATGACTAAACATTGATCGATTGACTTCTAACCGGTGCCATTTAGAGGGTGTACTTTTCACTATGCTTAAGACTGCTTGAATTCATCTAAACATGATCGTTGAGATAGCTTTAGTTAGTACCGCACCAATCAAGGCTTAATCAAACCTTAAAAGTATCACTTTTGTTTTTGATTTCCTGGTTATGAATGCTTCACCTCTTAATCATCTAGTTTGCACGCCCATGTCTCCCTGTATGTTTACTCGTGAAGGGAGAAAAAAGTCAAACGTGCATGTGTATGTGCAAGAAAAGACAAAAAATATCACAACCAACCTAGATCCATTTTTTACGTCCATTAGTGCGCACCATTGGCTGTAGTAGTTAAGATGTACCTCTCTGCCCATGTGGTGTGGTGTGAAGTGAACGGCGGGTGACCACAGACATACATATGTTGTGAGATCGTTCGTTCTCTTTTAGAGCTTAGACCCCAGTGTGAGTGTGAGCGCGCGAAAGTGCGTTCGTGTAATCCCATTTCGGCCGACATCGGCGACGACCTAGTTTTGATGACATTCCTGCTGCCTGTGTGCGGCGTGGTGCGCGCACATATATAAGGCTGTGTTCGTGTGATAGAAGTCCGTTCCTATGGCTACCACCCCCCCCCCTGCCCGCCCTCCCTCATTCACTCACCCACTCTAACCCATCTATTCAGTCAGCTAGTTCTCCCCCTACATCACGCACACACACACACACAGAGACGCAGATGGATTCTGACACAACAAGAGCGAGATGGGGTGGGTGCATAGGATTTGATGATGATGGTGGTGGTGGGTGGTGTGGCGCAATAACGGGAATAGAGTGGGAGAGATGGAATGGTGGGTAGGTAGGGGCAGAGAACAAGGTTGGGGGTTTGATGCATGAGATGCTACGCAACTGTTCCTTCTCGCCGCCCGTCACTATTCCCACCACCATCACTTGGGGGTCGTTTTAGCTCCCTCTCTGCCTGCTTGGCTAGGTTGCTTGTGCTTTCTAACTCCTGACTGATGCTTTACACTCTTGTGTCAGTGTATATAATGCTGTTGTCGGTTCTAGTGTGTGTGTGTGTGTGTGTGTACCGTAGTTATATCTCTAATGTTGTTAACTCGCTATTGGTCTTGGCATTAAGGCTATAGTACCTTTTTATGTGCGTAAATCATTGATTGCGAATAATTTTCATTTGAATTCTCATAATATTATTCGTTCAATTGATATGTAGACTTAAAAAGTGTAATTTGAGGCGATTTCTTTAAGCGTGTCTGAGGTGTGATTTAGTCATAGAAGGGTACCTAGCTTTAGTGCTATATTTATCAAGGGAAGTAGGGGGAGGGTGGGGGGGGGGGAGGGACAACCCGGGAATTTCTGTTTTGTGGCAAAGTTGTCTACATTGGGCTAGTTGTGGTTTCGTCATCTGTCCTGAAATGCCCATTCCTTACATGTTTATAAAGGCAGCGTTTGAAAATTCTACCAGAACGTGGTTTTCGAGAGTGAAGTTGTGAATTCATTTGCACTTTCGCAACTTATTCCAATCCCAGTTTGTCTGATTGCATAAGACAGCGTGCACCCGAAAGATTGGTGGTGGTGGTGCTATTCCCATCTCTTCAGTTATAGAACCGTTTGTTGGTGCGGGTTAGTAATTTCTCTCCTCTAATGCCCAAAAAGGCGAAACGGAATAACTTTTGCAATTTCAGCAGTGGAGCCTTCGCGAACTTAAGCTTGATGAAGGCATTTTGGAAAAAATCTTAATAGATGCAGGTGGTAGTGCTTCTATTCACTCGACTTGTGCATTGCTGCGATTTGGCCCATGATGAGCTCCTGGCTTTGCAGATATGCGAGAGTGCTCAGAGTTACATTTAGTGAATTTGGTTGTGTGGCTGTGTTGGCCTTTTCTTTCTGTGAGTGGAGGAGTAGAAAAGCAAAACGCATGCTCAATTATGTGTACTTTGGAATGGTTTTCAGTGATTTTACTGCCGACTTACTAAATTAAACCACTAAGCATTGATATGGCAATGACGGGAGTGGGGGGGGGGAGGAATCTTGAAATTAAATAATTTTGTTCACGGAATGTTGATTTTCACTTCAGCTCAAGTTTGCCCACTATTCATGTGATGAACTTCAGTTTATATTGTGGGTCATAAGGAGTCAATTTGAAATAGATGCGAGTACTACGGGCTAGCCTCTCTCAACAACCACTTCTCGTGCATTAGGTAAATGAGAAAGGAATGTTCTAGAATACAGTGAAAGTTAAGTGTAAGCAAAATCGATATTCACGCATGGAGGGTAACGTAGCGCACTAATTACCAGGGCTTTACTGAATCGTGAGATTTAGTATCATGCATCTTTTCTTGAGTTATCTTGCATTTACTGTCTCTTTGCACAAGTGTCTATATCTTTATGTAGTCGCATGCAGGTAAGTGAGGAGAGGGGGGGGGGGGGGGAGGGTAATCTGATTATATCTTCCGTTCTCTGTCCTCCTCCTCATCTCACGACATCACATCACATTTCACTTTGGGGAGGAGACGACAGTGGAGTGGAGCGTGTGTTCTTAAGGGATGTAATTTACCTTCCCTTCCCCTCTACGTCAGTCACTCAGCCAAGGGTGGTTTAGATAAGAGGTGGCTGAGGTGTAGTGACATGAGTTGAATTACCGTTTCCCTTTGTGTTGCTCCACGAGCGCCTAGCCCACCTTTTGGATTGCCAATTATCATCAAAATCCTTTCTAACCCCTGCATCTCTCCTTCTACTTTTATTTCACCAATTCACAGTGGGATTCGGTGAATTTGTTACTCCCTGTGTTCGGAAATCTCCATCCTGTCTTCATCGATTTTCCTTAAACAGCCTCATCTACTTTGTTAATATAGGTAGTATCTACTAATCTTGTTTTTTCTCATATAGATGAAGCACTTCCAATGATGAGCCTAACTCCAGGGCCTATGGGACCATTTCCTGGACCCAATATCCCAGGTCTAGTTACATCAACACCCACTCATCCCTCATTCATGCCCCGTTTCCCAGGACCCCTACCTCCTGGTGTTGGTCCATTCATGAGGCCCCCTCTAACCTCTCCTGGATCTGTAAGTTAATCACTCTCCAGAAATCTTCCAACCTTAAGTTACAGGGCATTTATACATTCATTTTCTCGGTTTCAGTTGCCCTTCGATGGTGGATTCAGAACACCAACGTAAGCATATAAATATATGTATATAATAGAAGTGGTCTTTCTGGTGATGCTGTCTTTTCGTGAGAGAGGAAGGTAGATGGCAAAGGGGTGTGAAAAAGTCATTGCTAAGAAGGGAAGAAAGGCGGGAGGGAGGGGAAGGAGGAGACAGGCATCGTTCTCTTGGGCTGGATTTTGTTGAGAGGGGAGTAAATCGACTCTGCTAAAAGATGGCGGAGCAGGAAGGAAGAGGGGGGGGGGGTGGACCGCGAGAATAAAAAGCGTGATAAGCGAGGAGGAGAGTGAAGAGCTGTAGGGAAGGCATGTGTCCGCCCCCCCCTTCCCCCCCCCCCNCCGCCCCCCCCTTCCCCCCCCCCCACTTTGTTCTATGGTACACCCTCCTTCCCTTTTCGCTCCATCCCTTTTTTCCTTGCATGCTTGGATAAAAAAAACAACTACGACTAGGTGGAGAGAAAGAGAGGGGAGAGCTGGAAAAAAGTGAAGCCAAGAGGAGAAGTAGCTGGCAGAAGAGGAGAGAGTATCCTCTTTTCTTCCTCTTTCATATTTCCTTCTTGCGAGTTTGCTTCTTGATACGATGCGAAATTCATTATCTTAGCGAGAGATCAGTGTAGGAGAACCAGTTAATCCATTTCCAATTGTAATAACTTAACAGTTTCATGATCGGTAAGTCCAAATCGTTTACAAATAGCTGAAATAGGCTCTATAATTGAGGTGTGTGTGGGGGGGGGGGAATTGGTCAATTATTTTAAAGCCAGTGTGATGAGTCATCATTTAGAGTGGCGATGAAAATCGATACACAATCAGCTGTAAGCCCCCAAGGTCACTCCAGTTTTTCCCATTCCTTACATTTGGGGAGGAGCAACTTTTTTTTATGTCTCCGATAGTGTTTTTTCCCCTTCCACCCTCTTACCCCTCACCTCACACAGTGGTAGTATAATTATGAAAGGTAAGGTCTATCTATTTCTCACCCCCCCCCCCCCCCCNTTTTTCCCCCCCCCCCCCCCCCCTACTTACATCCGGCATCTGTGAGGAGAGGAGGGGGGAGGGGGTGGGGTGGGGTGGGTGATATATGTAGGTAGACGAGCCAAATAAAGCACTTCTTCTCAGTCTCTAGCTCACCCTTGCTCAATTGTGCGAGTGAAGAGCAGTGGACGTCGACATAAATAAATTATATCATATTATGAGCGTTTGTGTGCTTAAGGACATATTTGGTTTGTTTATCGGGCTTGGAAGCGATTAATAACTCTCTTTCACCTCTCTTTAAATGGGTGGTAGAGGTTAATAGTGAAATCTTCGAGAGTGACGTATGAATAAGTCAGTAAGCAGGTAAGCAATCAACTTCTTCCTGCTCACCTCTCGTTTTCCCTCTCACTTCAGTCGAGTGTAAATTATTAACTAGTGACTTATAGGGGAGGGGAGTGGGTGTTCTTTCGCCTCTTCCCCCTATTTCTCCCTAGAGAGAGAGAGAGAGTGCCAATCATTTTTTTAACTTAAGGGCGATTACTCGAGATTATGTGTAAACAACAATAGCAAGACAGTGGTGGTGGTAATTATGATTTTCATTCTCACGCTCCTTAAAAGTCATGACTTAAGTACCAGTTAGGCAGCAGAGGGCTGTTTTTTACTTCTCGTCCCCCCTCCCTCTATTCTGTTGATGACAGAAACATCGGCAGCAGCAATGGGAGAATCAGAAGTAGCAGGAGCGGTGCGGCATAGGAGGCTGTAGTAGCGAGCGGTGTGTTGGGTGAGTGGTGTGTCACCCCATCACCTTTCCCCACCTCTCCTCTCTCTCTCCCCCCCTCACTCTCCACCCATTCCCCCCNCTCCCCCCCCCCCCCCTCCTTTCTCTCAGGGGAATAAAAACAGCTGGCGGCGCAGCTAGTAGCATCATCATCACCATCGACAACATCTGCAGCGTGCAGTGGGAGTGGGTGTGGGTGCACGAGCACCGTGCGCAGGCGCATACGCCCAGCTGTGTTTGTGATAGACAGGAGGAGATTACATCACCCCCACACTCCTACCCTCCCTTCAGTAGGCATTTTTTACTGTACGCTGCACCCCTCCCCTCCCCACCCCTACACTCTTCTGCTTTCCTTTACCACGCCCCTCTCTGATGGAAGGGCTTTGGAAAACACACAAATCTCCCCTTTGTTTCCCTCCCTTCCTTTCTTGCATAGGGTAGCAATTTAAACATCCCCTCCACTCCTGTCTTCTATAGGTTCTAGCCTACTAGCTAGATAGCCACGGCGCTTTGCTTTTCTTGCCTGTGTGCGTATGTTGATAGCTAATCAATTTTTCCTCTCTTTCCTTCTTGTTTTTCCCTGTTAGAAGTTATTCCTACCTTTACGCCGAAGGTCAAGCACCTATCCCCGTCCCAATAATGCCGGAGATGCTTACCGGTCCTGGAGTCCCCGTGTCAGCTAAAGCCATCCAAACTATTGAACATGGTGAAGTTGTCTGTGCAGTTATGGTCGACAGTCCGAAATCACATGTCTACACTGGTGGCAAAGGCACCGTCAAAGTGTGGGATATTTCCCAATCGTCTGCATCTGTAAATGAAGGACATCCTGTTGTAACGAAAGTTCCCCTCTTCACTCTTGATTGTCTTCAGGGGGGGCATTACATCAGGTCCATCAAAATGGCCAACGTAATTTCCACTTCTTACATAGTTCTTCATTAATATTTGCTCCTTTGAGTGTTAACCACGTTTCTTTGTGCATTACAGGAGCACAGGATGTTGGTAGTAGGAGGCGAATCGAAGGTAGTGAACATTTGGGATTTGGGTGGCTCAAACCCAAGAAAGAAAGGAGAAGTGGAGATTGTTTCACAGGCTTGTTACGCAATCACCATTTCCAATGACAACAAAATGGGCTACTTTTGTCAATCAGATGGTGCAATTTCCGTCTGGGATCTGCATAATCTCACCCTGATTCATCGTCTATCTGGACATAGTGATGGCGCTTCATGTATTGACATGAACACGGATGGTAATACACTCTGGACTGGCGGTTTGGATAAAACAGTGCGGTGCTGGGACATTCGTGAAACTCGAAGTCAGATAACTCAATTGACCTTTGGATCGCAGGTATTTTCTCTGGCTAAGTCCCCAACGGAAGATTGGGTTGTAACTGGCATGGAATCAGATGAGATTGAAATATTTGCTCCAGGTCACATTGATCGTTATCAAGTGAAGATGCACGAGAGCTGTGTTCTCTCCCTCAAATTCGCTCACTCCGGAGCCTGGTTTGCCTCAACAGGTAAAGATTCCTGGCTGCATGGGTGGAAACCACCACATGGTGCTAATCTCTTCAAAGTGAAAGAAAACCTCTCAGTTCTGAGCTGCGATCTTTCAGCAGACGATCGGCATTTAGTCACTGGCAGTGGTGACAAGAGAGCCACGGTGTATGAAATCGGTTATTAAGTAGTATCTCCACGTATATTCTCTATTGCCCTAATGTTCCCGATCATCATGTATATATATTTCACCCACCATCTTACAGTTTGACTTTTAAATCCTGCTTCCTCATCTTTTATCTTTTTTTCAACTACCCCTCTTCGCCCCTTACATTATGAATACATCAGTAGATGGGTGCTTCCATCTCTCTTTCTAGTCCTGTCATCCATACTGATAACAGTATATAACAATCATCCTATCTTGTCATTAGTTTCTTCCTCCCACTCATTACACTTATCAAATCTTTGCACAATCAGTATGTTTGAGGTAAAGTTCCTCCTCTCACCATCTTCATCGAATTTCTCTCGATTGTGTGTGTACTTTGAGGAGTAAATCTTGATGGTATTGTGAAGTGGTGCCGCCCTTAATCTTCATGGGGAACCTTGTAGGCTGTTGGGAGGGGGGGGGGGTTATGAGGTATTTGAGAATAATCGGGTAACTGGGAAATGAAAAAATAGGCTTAGTGTAGTTGATAATTTATTAACTATTACGCAACCCAGATCCACAAATCAAATGAAGTATGGCTCTTGGATGTCCTAACTCCAGCGTTCCTCGATTCCTTTATCTCTCTCTCCCTCTCCACCAAATGACCCTTACAATTAAGAATTCCATTCTTTTGTGTTACTATGAAGATGAATAACAACTTTGATTTACACAGTGTCGAGAAAATGATGGGGAATTTTTGGCAATACAATTTATTAGTCAGCTCAAAAGGAAGTGCTATGGGCTTTATAAAAGATCATTGCTAGAGATTCGCGTTGGATCTGATACCAACGTGGAGGATGCATAAAATTTTAGTCACCCTTCATTAGACAAAACTTTCGTAAATTGAGCACTGGAATTATTTTTGTTGATCACTGTTTTTGCTTTGAGAATAAAATGAAGCAATAATGAGTGTCCTATTTGTATAAATGAGATGAATTTTCTTTTGCCTCCAAAATGTATCTTTTATACGCACTACGGGTCTCCATTATTTGAGGATCCTTTCGTCAAATTTTAGCCTCTTAGTAAACATCTGTTTAGGTTTAGAGATGTCTATAAGCATTTCTGATAAGACGTCTGCAATTGCCTTAACAGGATCAGAATGAACTCTAACGTTTTCAAAGTTGGTGCACAAGATGTGGCCACGCTAGAGATTACCGGATTTTATACCTCCTTTGACACGGAGGACACTTTATTTACATAATTCATGCACATGTGCTAAGTTTACTTATGGAATTCAGAGTTAATATGATCTATATCGCTGATTTTAATATATGCAAATTATCGGTTTCAACGCTGAAAGAAAATTACTTGAGATCTAAGTTTCTAGGGTCTCTTTACTGACACTGGGACAACCGATCTAGAAAATAAAAGTCCTATTTTTGAGTGAATGCTCTTCCCATTAAGTTGTAGCCCTATTCGTAATTTTGAAAATACCAGAACCATGAGAATTAAACATCACTTATTCAGATCTGTTTGGTAAGAAAATCAAGGGTGAAAGAAGGGTCCTACTACTTTGTTCAATTTCTCTCTTCATCTTGTACATGTGAACAGCTATCTCTTCCAAGATGATCATTTTCCAAGTTAATTAACAGGGCAAAAAGGCACACAGTAATAGTAAATTTTGGAAGACAAACAGCATTGCCTTGTATCAATGTTAAATACATACATTTATATCATGTTCAAACCAGCCTCCAACCATGATTCAAATTAGCAACAGACGCCTACGAATTAAAACCACAACAACAACAACAACGAGAAGAAATCAAAACCTATGCAGTTATGAAATAGAATCAGCAGTAGCACCCAAAATTCAGACACGATGGAGGCATAAACTGAAATCCAATAACACACGAATCAAGATAACCTATTGCGTTCGCACAAACCATGAAAATCAAATACCTACCCCATTTAATTACACAGCATAAAAAGAAGTTCAAAACTACAAAAGGCAATGTTAAAATTACACATAATATATATCAAATAAGTAACGGGAAGGTGAGCGCGCGTGTATAAAGTTCTTTTATTTTACTTCCTAGTTCGATTTCTGCTCTTTCGGAATGAACTGACGTCTGAAGAGTCTGCCGATTTGCCAGCACCGGAATAATTATGTCCCGCAGTCGACTTATTGCCTCCATGCTTCTTCCCCATACTCAACATCGGATGTATCTAAGATTGCGAAAGAAGAAACCGAATTAAAATATACCAACTGCTGAAATGCAATTAAGTAGAGAGGCCAATTCATACCTCGTCGGTGGGTGCGTTAGGTAGGTCTATATTGTAAGTCGCACCGGATGAAACAAGGTCCATTTTATCTGCAGTTTTGGCGCGTTTCATAGGTAATGGAGGTTCAGAGGCCTTCGCGCCTTCAGTCAGCTCCTCTCCACCGGATAGTTCTTCAGGATTGTCGATATCGGGAGAAATTGAGAGAAACATGAGTATATCTTCAGGTTCCATCTCCTCGTCACTGCTTAATAACGCGGCAACTGGTTCTGCTGTTTCTACATCAACAAATTCATCTTGCTCAACATCATCTATAAAAGACAAAAATACGAATTAGCGATCGTTCTTACTAAATCATGGGCATAAATTTGATGGGGCAAAAGTAAAAAGTCACCACCTTCGATTTGGGCGGAGGATTGGCGGTCAAAAGGTCACCGAAAACAACACCCCTAATGATATCAGATATTTGCCTGACACTGTTTACGCTATAACTACTAGACCGTATAAACAACTGACCACGTCTCGATTTACAGAAAAAGTTGATCGATTACCCGACCCAAATCCCACCTATCCCAATCGGCAATTTTACTCTTTACATGAGAGCTTAGGTATTCTCCCATGATCAAAAGTGAAAATAGAAATGAGTACCTTCTTTTTCATCCTCTTCCCTGTCTTCATCCTCCAAGTCGAATTCGGATTCGCGTTCTTCGTATTCAACATTTTCATCGAGCTCCTTGAAATCTGGGGCGAACGCTGACCAGTTTTGCTAAAATAGGAAGACAAATGTAAGGATAAAACGCTAGTCGATTTAAAAGGGGAAAGTGAAGAACAATACCAAGACGAATCTATACATTCGGATGTTTTGTTACTTAGTGTAGTATTGATTCTTTCTCTAGCAAAATTTAATGCGTGTATTTACTGTGAACAGATATTATCGCATTAAAATTGATTACTGCAAACTCGAATCGGTTTAACGGATTTTTAGTGTGAAAAATCACCTCAGTAGCCTTGATAAATTAGGGTTCAAGTGGCAATGAAGCGAGAAAAGTGCCTACTGAAAATGAATACGACTTCATTGTAGATTGACATGAGGCAGGACAATTTAACTCTTGTCATATAAATCGCAACAAAATCACGGATTTTAGCTTGGTAAATGTTTAGAACTAAAAGATGGTCAGTAATTGGGAAAGAAAATAATTGAATTCTACTTCCTTGTGGTGTTGTGCAGTAACACAAATATCAATAACGACAAACTTACCATTAGAATGGCGAGCATCGCCACTGACACCTCGATGGTTGTTTGAGATATTAACTCATCAGTTCGTCGGTGTTTCCTAACATCATCAGTATAAAGGCGAATTGCATTCATATGTAAATTCCTTGCTTAGTTAATAAAGTGTCTTACGGCAACTGAATTCTCTCTTATCTCTACGGATTTGATTCAGTTGTGGCCTCCCGATTTCTAATGGATGGAGATAATAGAGGCAGAAAGTAGACTTCTAAGCATTGCAACAACATAGGAAGTCTTAGTTCATAAAAATATAGATGAATTTAAGCAAAAGTAAACAAGGAACCAGAAAGTGATTAGAAACATGGAAAGTCACTCGGAAGGATCACCGTCATGAATAGAACCCAAATACGGAAGATTGTAGTTTGAAATGCAACTTCTCAACTCCGAATTACTACTTCAAATAACTTACAACCTGAGTTTGAGCCCAAATAGAGATCTGTTCCTTGTTCATGGAGTTGGAGACGGATACGATTATGGGTCGAAGAGGATGCCAAATAACATCTAGCAGGGTCTCACCCTTTTGCCCATGGAGAATTTTGAGGAGAGTGCCACCAGCTCGCTCCCAAATATAAATCGAGTGCTGCTTCATAGAACCTGCACAGACGAATTCTCCATCACCAGAGAAGCAACACTTACGCCAGTGGCTCCTAAAAATGGGAAAGCATTCCAAATATAATATCCTATAGCCAAACACCAATAAAAACCGATGAGGCTCGAATTGTACTAATTTGACGTATCAGGCACTAGTTTAATAGAGAAATGAAGACCAGAAGTGTTCTAGGGCATTTACCTAAGATCAATGCCGTACTAGATTGTCTATGATATGCACTAGAAAAAGAGGATGACAAACCCTCACTTTAGGAAAGGAAATGCCCAATTCTTGACGTACTGCATATGACAAATTTGATCGAAAACAGCACAAAGTATATGGGCAGTCTACATCAACTAGTACAGTAAGGCAATAATAATAAGACAATTTCCATAATAGTCGTAATGATTCTAAAACACCATAAATTACGAATGACAGCGGAAAACAAAACGTAAGCACTTACCCTGTGACTAGATCTCTGAGTTTCTGAAGCGGTTCAGGTTCAGAGGATTCTAGAGCATCAGAACAATTATACACACGGATAAAACGATCGGCGCAGTTCAAAAGGAAGAAGCTAGATAAATGGAAGAAAAAATAATCGAAAAAATGGATAAGAAATTACCAACCTCTTTAACAAAACATCAACTTACTCTCCACGTCGCGAAAATTCAATCGACTTGATGGAGGAATTAGAAGATGTACTGATAGCACGAAAAGAATTAACAACTTTCAGGTCTTTTGTATCATAGATAGTCACCTAACAAATATTAACAATATTAGAATGGGAAGATTGACAACGAGCAATAAGAATGACCCCATACCTTGCCCTTCGAATTTCCTGTGTAAATATACGCCCCACGGCGATCATAGGAAGCAACCACACTTGGATCGTTCTAAAACACGAAGCCAAACAATTAGATACAGAAAAAAATTAAATGAAATAACTTCATTATATAATAAGGAAAAAATTAACCCTTCCAAATGAAATTTAGCATATAAGAACAATAGTGATTAAAACATGGAAATGATAAAGGATATAGATGAAATAAATAATTACGTCACAATCTTGTTTGAGAATTGTCGGTTTGCCAGTGGAGACATCAATCAAAACTGGAGCATGCCGAAGTGGACAAACAAGGACATCGTTGGAATTTCGTGGATTAAATTGAACCTTCATGACTGGGCAGGGAAATGTGAAATTTTGTTCACATTGTCCTGTTACAACATCCCAAATAGAGACAGTATTATCAGCAGAAGCGCTAACAAGTTGACGACTGTTCCTGCTCCAACTACATTATAAAGATAAGAACTTAATAAGAACTAGGAATAAAATGCAAATCACAATTATAGGATATAAACCTCATCGAGCAAATAGGGTGTGAATGGGCCATTATGAACTTTGCGATGCGACGAGTGACAAAATCCCAGAATTCAATACGACCATCATTGCATCCAACTGCAACAAGACTACCAAGTCTGTTGAATTGAATATTAACGACAAAAGGAGACCCTCCAGATTCATCCTTCTTTATTCGTTCCAGGTGTCCATCAATAGCCTCTGGGTAATTTTGATGAAATGCGTCTGCAAACGAATATAACACGCATGATTGACAGTTGATTGCAACAATTTAAATAAGATGAAACGAACTGAGCTATTATGCAAATAGATTATGCATGACAATATACGATAAACTACCTAGCAATTCAAGATTCATTTAGCCAAGAAATCAAAATATGCTCATGATCCGAATCGAGCGGAATTTATTTGGCGGAGATAAATATAAATAGCATCTAATTAAGTTCAACAATTAGATATTTCCTCAGTTATATGATTATTATAGATAAAATTTTATACCTGAGAACTATCTGATTTTTTTTATAAATTCATTTTAGCTTTGATTTAGACATCAACATGATAAATATCAGAGTTAAATGAAAAATCATTGGTTTTTACAAAAAAATATATCAGTCCATTCAATCAGATGATTTTCCACAGGTATTGGTTTTATCTTTAAACTACTGTTTTATTCGGGGACAATGGATTCTAAACATCATTGCTTCATTTCCAAACACTATGTAGATAACTTACATCCAGGATCTCATTGCCATGGCCAGTTTATTCTACTCTTCATGCTATTGTAGCCGAAAAATTTTAGTCTAGAGTTTATCAAGGAACAATTAGAAATCTCTGCTAATATTATACCAAAATATTACCTGGGACAATGAAAATTTAAAGTTGTAAGTCTTCTGGCATTCATGTTAAAAACCAGCCTATATATTATATTATTAAAATTTAAATAGAAATTTACATGATACTTGACGGAGAAACACTCTGGATCTGATTATTGATGATTTACTTCCGTTTTCTGTCGCGATCACTCGCCATATTGGTTTTTATATCTAATTATGAGTGAATGGCACTTATTCAGAGTTACCTTGCTTTAAAATATAATTCCTCTTTGGTGGCCTACGACTAATGCATTATTTCCATCTATAAATGCTCTAATGTTTAAGATATGGGCATTTTAAATCTGACTACAAATTGACTGGAACGAAATTGGCCACTTCTATTCACTTTTTATTATAATTCGGCTTTTCGCAATAAGTTACATATTATGAATTTTGGAATTACATTTCGTAAGAATAGTTCAAGAATTGAAGCTTGATAAATTCTTTGCATTAAACGACGCATGAACATATTTTATGAACCTTTTCAATGCACATGTTAATTATATTAACACCTTTTTTTACCTGGATCCTAAACAAACTCAACTATCTATCGGATATGAATCAAACTGTAAGACTTCCAACTAATCAGAAATGTGAAAAGAAATAAATTTAAGAAAGACATGAATTATATTTCATTCACTGATAATGCCTAAAATTGAATTTACCTCGTCTGATTAAAATAATAACAGGTGCTTAGGAAATTCATAGATAAGCAAACCTGAAGAGAAATGAAAAGCTTCTGACCTCAATATCTCCGTTCGAAGGAATTAAATGGTCATGTTATTTCATGAGGACGCGCCTTACAGTTTAATTAGTAATGCTACTCATATGAAAACAGTTAGTCAATTGAAAACCGATTTTAGCTGCTATTCGTGGCTATGGTTCAATTTAGTAAATTGTGGACAGTACGCTTTAAAGGGCTTGAAGTTCGCTAGTCTCTTACATGATCTCGTTTTCTTATGCCTGATACTCAGTGGAGGTTGGTGTAATAGTAATTTCGAACTATTCTTGACAATCCAATCACAACATTTGGGATCAGAATGAGCAGTGTAGACGATACGAAAAAAATAATGTTAATGCAGAGTTACCACTGGGAGAACTTTCATGAACTCTTCTATATCAAATATATATACCAGTTTTAAATCTGTACAACGCTGCCAAGTGCTCCTTCTAGTTTTTTTTCTGAACAGGAAAGAGACACCAATTGCAGCTTTGATTGTATAACACAGTTGGTTACATGATCAAAATTGTTAAATTGTGCAATTCGTTTCCTTTTGAGGTAAATTGAATATCGAAAGTTGTACAAATTCTACTACAAGCGCTATCCCATTAAGATGTTTTGATTTAGCAACCTTAATAAATAAACTACCTATTAGTCTTGAGTGGTCGTTCCTAAATTGGTGGAAACAAATTTCAATTGCATTTAAATACTTTTGATTCCTTGGGTTTGAATGACGAGGGGGAACACCTCATAGAAAATTAATTATCTTAACATACTTGATGATTTGCAGACGTGATTTCCGCACCATAATGAAAACTGAAACCCAAGAACACCGTCACTCTGAAAATTAGCTTTAAGCAAATAGGGTGATTAATGCAATTGGTCGCCTCCTAACTTAACCTCAAATTAATATCCACTTGTGTCCTTTCCGCAATTAAAATTAGCCTCGTTTCTTACGTAAAGCTATATTTAGAAGAGGTTGGTATGGATTCTCAAGTCAGCTGAGATGGGCGAAGGGGAATATTAGAGATCTCCGTAAATATTTTCATGAAACAAAACATGTCTAATGAAATATCGCTAGTGTTGCCCATATTTAAAGTCAATTTAAATCCCCGAATATATTTAGAGCTTAGTCTTCGTGGTGCTAATAAATAAATAATTAAAACTGATCAGTATAAATTTAATTATAATAACTATTACTAAAATATTTTCGTGCCTTTCGGTAAATTTTTGAATGCTCGCTAAATTAATTTATTTCTGGCAGAAGGTATATTTTCTACAAGATTTCAAATTTTAAAATCCAATTTCTCGCATTTACCAGAATCTAATCAAGCAAAAATTTTCTTAGTTTTTGTGCAAGAATATTGAAATGAACTGTTTATTTTATTTGACTTTAAAATGTTCAACTAAAAAATAGAGAAATTATGTTTTTAAGCCCATTTTTTCCACTTCTTATGTTAGAGCACAATAATGTTTGAAAAACGTTTAAGGAAGACAGGTTGTCAAACTGGAGAGACCAATAGTGGAATCATAATCATGCTTTGCTCCCCTTCCTCTGACAATTGTGGAACGTTTTCTCCCACTTACAATAGCACAAGTACCACAGAAGATTCAGTGGGAAGGGGGTTGGGGTGGAACTTTTATGAAACTACAGAGTAGTAATTATTTTACCATTGTTTCCAATCTTCCTCATCCCCTCCCTTCCCATTATCCATTTACTCTTTCATTTCCTACATAACTCCTTCCGTTCACAACGCTCTCTCTTTAAGACTAATTAGTATCCCTAACGTTTCCCGCCAACCCCCCCCCCCCCCCCCCACCCCCCCAATTTCCCCTGCTCCATTCCACATATCACCTTTTGTACGCCCCTGATGAAATTATAATGCCATCTAGGAGGCATGAATATTTCAAATGACTTCAATAATATACTGACCCCTTTCCACTTGCTTACCTGGTGATGATATATCTCCACGAGATGGGAACAGGGATTAGTGTCTTTCTAGACATGCGTGTTAAGTTGGCATTAGCTGAATGGGTAAAGGTGAAAAATGTCAACTCAAAGCCTCACAAATTTCTCATTATTTATCCTGCTAATTATTTAGTACGCATTTAAAGCCTCGTACATTTAACTGGAAAAGAAAGCTGTAGTAAAAGAGTCAAAGTCAAGTAGCTATTTTGCAATTAGCACAATCGATAATAACGATAAAAGGTAGTATAATTTCTTGTGTTTATTAATTTAAAACTTCCTGTAAATGTAACATGTCCCTTATTTCAAGTTCGTAAACAATGCTCTAGTAGTTTGTTGAAAACATTCTAAATTTCGTTTTCTTGATTTCCTTTTTAAAGTTATGACAACCAAATCTAACCCAAGACTATTAAGACAATAATTTCCATTTAATTTATTCGAATAAAGAGGTGGGATAGACTTACCTCCACGCGGTGCACCCCGGGCAACGTATACTCAACCGGCAGTTGACTTCTGACTTCAAGCCACCATGACCCCACTGTATGTCATATTGGGCCACTTCCATCGTACTAATCTTACCTTTTCTCTGCCCTTGTGTCTGTCTGTCTGTCTGTCTCTTTAACGTCTTTGAATCACTCTTCTGTTCCCCCCTCTCCACTTTTCTCACTTTGATATTCCTCCCCTCTGTGAAGCTAATGATAAGTGTCATAAAATCCGCCATTTGAAATAAATAACTATTCGAATATTACAGGTTAAATCTTTTCAATAGAGTAAAAAAAGAAAAAAATGCATCGATGCTGCAAGGAATCCTAATATCGGTTATTTTAATTAAAACTCGTTGACACTTGTGTAATTTTCTTGTCGACCGAATTTTCCTTCCCTGTATTCAACGTTGAAATCAACTTCATACCTATAAACTTACAACTGTGTGGCTTCCTTGCCAGCTTTCCATCAGTCGCTAAAGTTACCAATAAAGCTCTCATCCAACAACGTCTTCTTATTTTCCACGAGGCATATTTGACTCGGGGAAGCAACAATTTCTTCCCGCACCCATCGACATTATGAACTGGATGAAATGTCAATATCTGAGAACGATCCGATTTAAGTGATACAAATAATCAAATTTCCCATTTTAAGTAGCTTTTCGTGAAAAGAATTGTCCAGATAAAGCTTAATTTTCGCCATACAAATGGACACAAAAAATGAAAATTCCAATCAAATAGAATGGCTAAATCGATCAAATTAATTATTTCAACAAAATCTCAAAGGTTGATTTATCAAATCCTATGGAATGAGTTACCAAATTTACTAATCGAGTAGATCAACACGTCTAGGCGTATCTATTCAGACCACAAATAATTCATGATGCAATTGTGGATTCATTTTTGAGCTTATTTGAATCTGCCGCGCATTTTCAATTGAACCCATCCGAACAAATACATGGGTAGGTATTATGCTCAACAAGTTGATTGAAAGCCCATCGAGGGGCTATTCACAACGAGGGCTCACACATATTGAGAGGGGAGGGGGGGGG